GGAGCACAAGTCTTATGAGGAGCGGCTGAGGGAACTGGGACTGTTTAGCCTGGAGAAGAGGAGGCTGAGGGGAGACTTCATCGCGCTCTACAACTACCTGAAAGGAGGTTGTGGTGAGGTGGGGGTTGGTCTCTTCTCCCAAGTAACGATAGGACGAGAGGAAATGGCCTCAAGTTGCGCCAGGAGAGGTTTAGATTGGATATTAGGAAAAATTTCTTCACCGAAAGGGTTTATCAAGTGTTGGAACAGGCTGCCCAGGGAAGTGGTGGAGTCACCATCCCTGTGGGTATTTAAAAAACGCGTAGATGTGGTGCTTAGGGTCGTGGTGGACTTGGCAGTGCTAGGTTAACAGTTGGACTTGATGATCTTAAAGGTCTTTTCCAACCTAAATGATTCAATGATTCTATGATTCTATGATTTGTGTTTGTAAAACTGAAGAGTAAGTACCTTTTTCCACTGTCCAGTCAGTGCTGTGCTAGAGATACACAGACAGAGCTTTTGTTTCAGGAGAAAAGTCTTTTCCAAACACATCTGAAAGGTTAATCCAAATACAGCTTGCACAGTTCAAGAGCAATAACATATATTTCTTAAAATTCAGTTAAGTGGCTCAATGATTCCCTGAAATAACCAACGTGTGCATATGTTACCACTTCAGAGGGAGCCCTGGCTTCTATTCAGGTAGTGGCAAAATCTTTTTGCCTTGTGCATACAAACATCTTTCCTCATTCTTAAATATGTGTTAAATCCAGACTGACAGATATGCACGGGAGTCATGGCTGGAGTCCTGCCTTTGGTGTTGTTCTGCAATTCCCTGATTGCTTTGTGAAGAGGTTGCAGCAAAAGTCACTTTAAGTGGTGGTCCTCCATGCTGTTCCCACCATTCCCCCCAGAACAGTAGGAAGGTCTGTAGGATTGGCTTTGGGACATGCAGAAGCAGTGAGGACCAAGTAATATCAGCGTGGCCCTTCAGGGGTGCTCGTGTTGGCTGACCTGGCTGATAAAACCCTGAAGCTCCTTGCTGGGAGTAACACTGTTAAGATGTCCATCTCGAACAAAATGGGGAAGTTTCCTTAACTCACTTCTGATTCATAGCAAAGCAAAGCACTGATGATTAAGAAAAGGCTTTTGTCTGTTAGTCATTCGTTGTTGCTTTGATTCTGGGAGTGAAAGCTAAAGATAGACAATTAGATGAGGAATTAAAGGGCATGTTTCTAATAGTGAGAATAGTTAATTATTAGAACAATTATTAGAACGTGCTTGATCCTTTTGACTATAGGAGAATCCCTGCACAAGAGAAAAAAAAAAGAGCAGCAAGTTTCTAGAGCACTAAGTTGCAAGGCAAATTTGAAATTAAAATTCCAACAAAATCATAAGGGGCATTTTATAAATAGGTTTTTGTTGTCTGTGAAACAGTTGTTGAACTACATGTATTTTTATTTTGCTTTGTGTAAAAGAAATGAGAAGTCATCTGTGATTTCACTTTTTGTAATATTAAAAACTCGGAGTGGGCCTACAATGCAAAAAGTCTGTCAAGGAAATTCAGAACTGGACCACTGCGGAAAAAGTCCAGTCCTGCTGTTTGTCTTGTAATTGAACCATCTGGGACTGGCAGTAGCAGTGTATTTAGGAGTGCTGTGAATTTATGAATGCTGATCACAGAATATGTATGCTTGTGACATTTCCTTCTACTTTTATAGCAGTTACACAAATCCATTGCAGTGAAACAGCTACACCTGCAATTTTGCTCATGAAGGATTTGGGATGCGCTTGCAGTGCTTGTTTATTTTTAATGTCAAAAATTAATTACTGTTACTCTTTCAGCAGTGACCTTTATTGATTTTGAATATTTACATGTACTCCATCTGTAAGCAACTGTAAGCTTTGTGGCAAGATTTTCTTTATACTCTCAGGTGGCTTGCAGTGTTCTGAATTCTTACGCTTTTTCTATATTTTTGTATCCATGCCTCATGGGATTTGTAGAATCCCAATTTGTAGAGTTATCTTAAAAGAGTGATCTGAAGCTTGCCTAACCCAAGTTATTCCAAGAACAGATTGACTGACTGTTCAGAAGCAGCCATTTTTACATAACAAGTTATGACTGTAAATGCCAGGGAGATGTTTGTGTTAATAATGTAACTTTTTCATTTCTATACATAATATGTATATATACATAATGTGTGTATCTCCTCCTTAGGAAAGACCAGAACCTCTTGTCGCCAGTGAATTGCTGGTACTTACTCCTGAACCAAGTGAGAAGAGAAAGCAAAGACCATGCAACATTGAGCGATATCTACCTGAACAACGTGATCATGCGGTTCATGCAGATAAGCGAAGACTCCACCAGAATGTTCAAGAAGGTAATGCCTCTTCTGCAGTCCTCCAGCTGGGCTTGTAAGATGCATGAGGGAGGCAAAAGTGTCCTAATAGGTAGCATTTGAGGAGAAGATTGAGCACACGTAGCATAAAATCTGTTTTAGCACACGTATAAATTCTTTATGACTGTTCTCGCAGAGCAAATCCTTAGTGCTGAAATGCCTGCGAACCCGCTGTATATACTGGTGACCTTAAGAGCTGAATCGCAAATATCCAAAAGGCAGGGAAAAAAGCCTGTTCTTCTTTCAAAAGCACACTTGTCTACCCATGCAGAAAGGAAACAGCTTTCGCTTAGGACTCCCAAAATAATACAGTAATGCTGTATTAATGAATTATTTGTAAAAACAGTATTTAATTGTAACTGTCATGAGAGAAACGGATTCAAGCCAAAGTAAGGGTGTGCCTTGTAGCGCCTTGGCATAAAGATGGTAGTGTATGCTGCGATTTTCCTAAAAGTGTTTCCTTCCCAATATTAAATATGAACATACATTTTTGATAACATAACTACTTCTATTAGATCATTTAAGAATTGTCTCTGTACATGTTTGTCTTTGTACGTGCCCATTATGTATTTTCATACACATACAATGTGTAAATCCCTCTTGTGCTAAGCAAGCACTCTAGGCAGCCTTAGTTTGAGATCTACGTAACGTGTTTGCAGTCATTGTTGTTATAATGTTCTGAAATAAAAATAGATTATAAATGCACATCCGTCAGTCACAGTGGGATGCTGGTAGGCAAGCGTCATACAAAAAAAGACTTAAAAAAGAATAAAGGTTAAAGAATGTAAAGTGTGTGACTAAATGATGGCAAGGGTACCAGATTAATGTTTTCAAAATAGGGAACTGATTTCACATATACCTGACCACAATCCTAGATAGATAGCAATGGGATGGGGAGAAGAATAATTTAGGGAGCGCATAGGTTGTACGTGGAGGAAAAAAAGTAAAAACATGAATCAAATTTATTGGTGTGCATTAAAACCTGTAACAGTAATAGAGTTGAAATTTGTAGTTTCTCAATCAGTAATGGTCTGTTCATGTAACATGTCTGATGCATAAAACTGTAGTTCACAAACCACTAAACTTACTAATATTGAATATTATTACAGAAGTTGAAAAGATAATGGGAAAAGCAATTTGAGCGTGCTGCAGTACTGTCTATGTGGAGGTATCTCAGACTTGCTTGGACCAGTAGAAATTTTTCAGTATTGAATCTGGAATAGTTTTTCAGTTGTTTATGTCATATCTCAGAAATCTCTTCTTCACTAGGTGTGCGTTATTAGACTAGCCTGTTTGCTTTCAGCATATTTCAGTTCTTTAGCACTGGAAATCTTGCTTTTCCTTCCCTTCTCTCCAGAGGGACTGTACAAAAATATCTAGATAAAGTTTTCCACGGAGAAGTGGAAATAACTTATTAATAGAGATTGCTGCAGCTTACCTCTCGGAAGGAGGAAAATACATGGACGTTTTCAGTCCCTTAACAGGAGGCATATTGTCATATCTTCCTGACAGACTCGTCTCTTTCCAGGAACGTGCAACATCTCAAATTTTCTCTTTCTAACATGGCTTCTTGAAGAAGAGCAAGCAGCTGCTCTTGCTTTTTCATTCCTAACTTGGATCTTCCACAGAGGAAAGAAGAGAAAGGAAATTGAGGGAGTCCTGCTGTGCATAACCTGGAGCTCACATTAGTGGAGCCCAGATCCTCAGCAGCCCTACCCTACCTTTCAGCAGGGTTTGCCAGCTGACACTCAGCGTGATAATGTCACATGAAACAGCTGTTAGCTGAGGTGGAGCACGGGCAGAGTGAGGTCACCAAAGGCTGTGTGAAGGGGTCTGAGCCAGGCCAGTAATGTGAGGGGAAGGGTGGCAGGAAGACAAGCGGCACTCAGCATGGTGTAAGAGAGCTTCATGAGCACGTGGCCTGAATGTGGCAGTGGTTGTTCACCAGTATTAATTTTGAGCTCTTATTTTTAGGATTTCAGTTTTCAGGAATCAATGCTTGTTGGAGAAGGTTGGTATTTCCACTGAGTCCCAGTGTGCACAGTTCTTGCTGTGGTGCTTGCTGCAGAGTACTGGTGGTTTATTTGCTGTTAGTTCCCAGCTGCAGAACTGATTATACCTTGAATGATGATGAAGCTTGAGTTTCTCTTCTGTGAAAAGGGAAGGGAGTTATAAAATGAGGTGAACAGCATTGAACAGAGAGAAAACCAAGACCTATGCAGGACGTGAAGCTGTTAGCAAATTGTCTTGCTTTATTGATGAAGAACGTAAGCTGTCTACACCTATGTTTGTTCCAAATGGGCAGCTTCAACCGTAATGGTCTTTAAAGGTCCCTTCCAACCCAAACCATTCAATGATTCTGTGCTAATTTCTGCTAATTTCTGTCAGATGTGAATGTGCAGTCTAACTTAAGGCTCATCACAGACTGTCTCAGAAATGCTTAATGGACGTCCACCAGGCAACAGAAAGAAATTAGGTGCAGAACACGTATCCTGTACTACAGTCCTCCTTGCAGACAGAGGTCACAGGAGCAAAGAGAAGGTGCACTCAGAATGAGAAAGGTGACATCCAACACTCTCCTCCGTCAAACCGTATTCTCCGTAAAGAAAATGGTGTGGAATTTGTTGGAACATCAAATAGATTTGTGGAATATCAAATAGAATATTTGACCAATTTCTGTCACTTTCTGTAGGTTACTTTTGAAAAAGACTGGATTTGGAATGAAGTTCTGTCAGAGAAAAGTATAATCAATCTCAATGGGTGTCATCCCTATGAAAGCGTATGGGATTTGTTCACTGTTCACACATTTCAGATTAAAGTAGAGACAAACCATATCCTGCAGATACTTCTACACTGGAGTATGATCATACTGTCCTGTGAAATATGTACTCTCTCTCTTATAAGTAATAACTGTAAATAATAAGAACAGTAGTAATATGAAGATTTCAAAAATAAAGACTGACAAGTACATGCTTAATATCTTACTGCAGTCCATGGTCAAGAGCAGGAAATACACCTGTCTAACGTATCTCTACTCCATTGGCTCTCGCAGCATTGCACATAGGAGCACTTAACGTCTTGCTAAGTAATTTCCAAACACCAGCTAATCAAGCTTCTCTATATTCAGTAATTAGATCATTTAATTATATATCTACCAGTTTATTAACCTAATAGTGTCATGCATCACTATTATCATCTTGTTTTAGTTCTCCCTCAGTCTTGCAGCAGCAGCAGCTTCTGCATCTTTGGAGGGGCTTTAGCTCCACTTCCAAGTCTGGAGAGTAACTACACCCAGTCTGTGATCTCCATCATTCTGCTCTGAACCCCCCGACCTGTTGCAGAAAGGGAAAATATCTCGGAGTGGATTGCCCCATTGCTCACAAGCAAGATGCGGGGAAACAACAGCAAAGTCACTCTGAGCTTCATGGCTCTTTCTGCTCCCTCTTTTTTCTCCCCTTCTTTCCTCCCGAGAGGGTGAAGCTGCCCATTCTGCTTCTCAATGGTAGCCCTTACTGGCTTTTTCCAGCTCGCTGGTGGGCACATAGGTCTCAAATGAAACTTTTCCATGAAGTAAGCCCAACATTTTCTAGAGGGATACTGTTTGTATGCTATCCTAAGATTGCCTCCAGCTTGAATTGTAGTAATGAAAAGATCAAACAATTTCCTCATTTTCTGGCCATGTTTACCAATAGAGTATTGTTTTGTTCCCTCTCCTGCTGATGTCTCCTATGTGGGATACAGCACAAAGTCATGAGTCTGTAGCAACCCCTTTCTCTAGTCCTTCTGTAAAAGGTATGTGCAGTATCCAGTGTAAGTCTATATGAAATGTAGTGATAAGGGATGTCTGTGTCCCTTGAGCTTTGTGCCTTGCCTTTGTCTCACTGTCTGTTCTTCCTCATTTTGGTTCTTCCTTTTGTGTGCATCTATACATTTGTCTAAACATTTGGATTGCTTTACTGAAGTGATCCCTATTGGTTCTACCTTCCGTGTTCTGATGGGCCAGGATATATTATATTCAGGTACCTAATTGTACATGGCTTCCCTGTCTAGGCTGACCTACTTAACGTGGATATTCATTATTTTTGTTCTCCTGGGAGCTGTTTGTCATTCTTTTTTCCAGGGGTCAGGAACCAGCATCTGTACTAAATGCAGGACAAAGATAGGATCTAATTCAGAGATTTTGTGGCATATATCTGATGATATTATGTCAGGCCTCATACTTCCAGATAGGCACTTAAGCTCTTCTTCTTTTTAGTTGCTGGCATATAAAAGCAATACAGATTGCTGTTCATGCCTGGCCTTCATGCTGCACATAAAACTACAAACATAAAGTAGCAGAGTTCAAATCTTGCCTGCTTGCATGTTTCTTCAGGCAGATGGGGTAGATGGCCTCATGGGGACAATTAAAGAATAAAGTAGTAAGGAAAAATGTCAAGCAGAAGGGAAAAGTATTATGCAGAACATATCATGCAGTGATTCTGGTTACTCCAGCATTAATAATCAACTGTATAAACACATACCCACAAAATCCTTAAGCAGATTTGTATATTTTTAATTTATAAACATGTATTTTCTTTGGACAGAAACCATAACGAGCCAAGATGAACATATCTTCCAGTGTTTACAGTAAAAGATGCTGGAGAAGCCAAGCACAATAAATATTTTAGTTCCATAATCTGGCTATTAACGAGCAATATGACTACCTGCCAAATCTATTTGAAGTTATAAAGATTGTGGCGTATATAGAGATTTTTTTGCATCATTTTCTTAAACATCTAAAGGTTTAAAAGGATAGCAAAGCTATTTGTTGCTACAGACTGGCAAATCTGGGACGAAATTTTACTGTGAGTTGGTTATGTCAGTGTCACTGCTGCTCATGAAAGCTCCTTAAAAGAAGGGTTTGCACATCACTTCCCCCAGGGACCAGCAGCAGACTCATTTAAAAGCAATAGTCACAGAATATTTTCCCTAAATGATGTAACTGAGAATAGCATTGTGTGTGCTAAATAGAAACACTAAAGAGTTCCAGGAAGAACTGAACTGACTCTTAAATTTCAGTTAAAAAAATCAAAAGAGTAAAGTTTGGGTGCCCAATTATGCTCTAACTGAAATGGATGGAAAAATTCTTACAGACTTCAATGAAAGGGTATTCATGTGGAATAAAATTTTAAGTTCCTCAGACATTAATCCATAAATATAAATCTTGATAACATCAATAGGACCACGGATGTGTTGAAAGTTGAGCACATACTGAAAGGCTGGTTTGGGTACACTTACTTGTCCGTTGCATGGGCGTGATCCATCCTACTATCAGATGAAAAAAATATGCTACTCTTAATGCTTTGAACCAAATTAGTAACATATATAATATTTTTAGCAAGAGTTTGCATGTGGTCTAACATTTTTATTATGTTCTTTGTTCTTTTGGTTAGTAGATGCTAATACATCTCTCTAGGACATAGGGGATAAAGAAGCACCTCAGTGATTGTTTTTCAGGTTTTAATGGCCTGATTAGAGCTATCAACTCAGCTCCAGGAAAAAGTGTGCTGCATCTTACATTCTGTTGTTTGGCTACCCTGAGGATAGGCTCCTAGAGGAGCACACCATTCAAACAGGCTGAACTACTGCAGGGAATAGGTAGCATAAAAGAGAAATAGGAGAGCCATTAACCACTGAAAATAAATGCACTTCTTATCTGGTGCTCTAACGCACTGTGTATTACACACTAAAAGCCATATTGCTTGCCACTCGAGTCAGTATTTCTTGATCTTAAATGCTAATGTAAAATGTGTTGGTTCTTGAAAATAAATTCCTTTTATACTGCTAAGGTTAACCAAATTTCCTGGTTTTTATTGGACAATTCCTACAAAATCTTTCATCAGAAAGAGGCAGCAACAGACATGTTATCCATCACTACGGGCACCCTTTGCAGGTTGGAGTCCCCAGAGGAACTGGTGGAAGGAGGAATCATCTGTGATCACATGGCATTGCTAGGCTGTCTCTTCCTAATTTTTACTCTTTTTGCTGATCACCTCCCTCTCTTTTTGCTTCCCATTTTAAAGCCTATTGTCCTTTCCTAAAAAGATTCTCCTCCTTTATTCTTGATCTCTTCCATTTACTTTCAAATTTACCATTGATCAATGTGTTTCCTGGAAAAGATCATGTATGCATGGTGGCCAGTAAATCCTGAGGTTTGGACCGCTTGTGCTTCAGTGCTGAACAAAGCTCTGCACGAGCAAAGAGAAGAAATGGGTCCTAATAAATAGCGATTATTCCCCGAATCCTCAACTCATCTGGTGTCTATTTGCATTAAGGTGTAACTGAAGAGCAGAAAAGGAAGGTGCATCTTTCAATGAACTGCTGTGTGCTTTGCTTACAACAAAATCTGCAAAGGGTAAAGAGAAAATTGGTTTGGGGTTTTCTGTCTCACCTTCTCAAACAAACTTTTGCACTGCCAGGTTAAAGCGTGCTGCCTTAGAATCGGTGTTGCTGTATTTAGGGCTTGAGTTGTCATCAGCTTTGAGATGGTAGTGACCAACAGTTGAAAGGGATAAATTACTTGAAGCTGGAGTTCATCTACGTTTTTTTCCCACACGGGTATGCTTTCATCTTCCAGGCTTAATGTCAACCATCTTATTTGTATGTTTTGTCCTTCTTTCTGCTAAAGTAATTTAAAAAACAGACTGCTCATATTCAGCACTATAGAAGCAGCTATGCAAGAGAAAACAGGTGGCCTCCACTTCTTGGAGCTTTGAGGAGATGTGTAAGCTGTGTCAGAGCTGCGCTGCTGACTTTTAAAGGCAGGGTGCCAATGTAAAGCAATGGAAAGCAATTCAGAATTTTTGCTAAAGGTTTACAGCAGCTTGCAAATCTGCAATCCTTTTCCAATACTTTACAAGCACTCTGTGCACTGTTATGCATATGAACTTTCGTCCTTCGTATTAGATGAAAATAATCTGATATTTGCAAAGAAATGGAAGTAGTAAGCCTTATGTTCTAGATACTTCAGTAGTACAGCATACCTCATGAAAAATAACAGACTTTGAAAACTATGAGCAGTAAGGAAAGTTTCATAGTAGTTCTGTGTAACTCGGCTTCAGAGCATCTGTCTCACTGTGCCTTAGCTACTACAGCTAATGCCCTTGGGAATACAAGAATTTCACTGAAGTGTTTTTTAATTTATATTTCTAGCTTCTTGTTGGTTAAAAATCATCTTGCATATAAGGATTGGAGTGAATACTGATAAGTGATACGGCAGATTCCTTAAAATACTGCCCAGAGTTAGGAGTATAACAGTAGGAATAGGAGAAAAACTTCAAAATTTTCTGTTCCAGCTACTGTATGTGTCTGTTTCATCCTCCTGGAAGACGCAGTGGGTGGGATGTGTGGCGTGGTTCCTCCTCATATGTGGGCGTTGCACTGGAAATTCTCATTCAGAAACCATTATTCCTGCAGGTGTTTTAGTGATGGCCAAGTATGTGTTAGCGGCTTTGGAGATGAGTTGTCCCTAAGGATTTTCCTTTGGCTTCTATACAAATACAAAGTACTTCTCATAGCTAAGGCCATTATCTATCATGAAGTTGGAGTTTTAGAAGCCGGGCTAATTATCAGTTTATTCACAGGAAAAAAAGCTGACATTTCCAGCATGGATGTTACAATGCTGAGCATCGCAGAAGAAATGTAGCCAGGCTGTTTGCCAAGTCCCGTAGCTCTATTCTGTAGCTGTTTTCCAAAGGCTATGGTACAAATGCCTTCAACTCTTGCACTGTTGCCACAATTTTCATCTGATTGAACTGCTATGGACAACTAACAAAGGAATATATTTGAATGACACTCCAATTAAATGCTCTTATTTTGACATACTTGCTTTCGTTAATAACTACTACTAAGCATTTCTTTTTTTCCTGGGTCAGAATGAAAGTAAAGATACAGTCCAGAAAAGCTAAACAAAGCTGTTTCAGCAGCCCACTCTGTGCAATATTATGCAGTTGGGTATCTGTTTCAAAGAGGAGCCACAATTATTTCTTGCATAAATATTTAGATAGTTGCATGTGCTGAGAAACAAAGACTACTCTAGATGTAAAATTGGGCGGGATGTCCCTCTAGAATATCACATTCCACATGGTTTAGTTTTCATATATATAATCACAGTTATAAAACAGTACACAGTTTGTTCCATTAAAAAGGCTTATAACATTAGTCCTGAACTTCACCCTTTCTGTTGGCACCTAGTATCCTGATGCTTCATGGGAAAATCTCTCAAATTACTTCTGGGTTTCCTTTTGGAAGTCTTCTGTCCAGATCTGTCTACCTCTGCATCCCTGAATCATTATTTTTAATGCACTGTAATTCTGTCAGAACAGTGTCTTTGCGAGCAACATTGCATGCACTATCTGGGATGAACAATGAGTATGAATATCAAGAAGCAAATGTATGCAGCAGTTTTTGCATGCCTTTTTCTAATTATTTCTTTTTAATTACAGAGCAAAGAGATTGCGTTTCAGCTTCATGAAGACTTAATGAAAGTACTTAACGAGCTTTACACAGTAAGTACAGTTACTTACTTAGCTTATCTTATACAAATTCCATATCAGACTTCTTCTATAAGCTTTAAGTGGCTTTTTATCTGGTAAGTTACCCCCCAGTGGAGATGCTTATTTTTGTCTTTTTACACAAGTCTAAACTATCTCTTTTGGAAAGACTACTCACTTGTTTAGAATACATATGCTAATGCTTTCAAGATTACTCTTTACTTTTCAACTCTTTTTCCCCCCAGACTATGCTAAGCCAGTTTATTATAAGTTTTGTTGATTATTAATGAGACGTTTCTACTTAGAGCTTGCCAGAGCAAAGCTTCTTCCTTTTCTGCCTTGTTTTTGTCTATGCTGCCATCTGCTTGGTTTGTCTCATGGACTACACTATCTGCAATCATAGGTGCTTGCAAATCCAGTGCTTGCTGTCTAAATGTTACTTATGTGCCCTCCCCTCTCCCTGACTGGGATAAGTAAATAATGAAGAGAAAAATAAAGGGTTGTGTATTTCCCCAAATATTTTGGGGGGGGACATGTTCTAAGAAAGAAGAAAGCAAGAATTACTTTTTTTTTAAACATAGCTGTACAATGAAGAGGAACTGGTGACATTCACCTCTTGTTTTAGAAAGTTGTACATCTAAATTTTCTTTTCTGTCTGGAAGAACTGAAACATCTATGCTCCAGTACCCTGCATAACAATCTCTAGACTTCTCCCTTCCCTATCCTCAAGATTTGGGGGATGATAAAAAAACCCCCACAATATTTATATCAAGAAACAATTAGTGGTTGTAAGGAAGTTTAGGAAGATATCAGAGACCAGCTTTCCTCAGGCAGAGATCAGCCAAACATTACTTTTGTGCATCTTGTTGGTTTTTCTTTTGACCTAGGGAAAATTATACACCCATCAGTGGACGGGTTGAAGAACATTTGAACTCAAGAACAATTTAGGTGGCAAAAAGGAGATCCAAAGAAAATTAGACCCGTCCCACTGCCCTGGATTCTTTTGAATTGTTATTATGGACACAGATCCTAAAACCTACCTAAACCACCTTCTTTTGGTTTTTTTGAGGGCTTTTCTTTGGGGCTTTTTTTTTTCTGAAATCACCACTGATTTTGTAGGGTGCGATACTGCAAAACCTTGTTGGCTCAGGCCTGTAGTCAGTGAGGTATGCTGGGATGAGCTTCTGCAAAGTAGTGATAGCTGCAGACAATTCACACAGCTGCAGGGGATCAGCGAGTGTAGGAGTCATTGCACAAGTGGGGCTTCAGTGGTGAGTAAGCCCTGAAGATACAGTCTTGTTTCAATTAAACAGTTGAGTAACTCCAATGCCTGGTGAGGCGCAGGATTTGTGTCCCTGCTCCCAGGGTAGGAAAACAGTGAAGCATGTGCTGAAATACTTCGCTGAATCACCAGTGAAAATCTGCAGGACTGGATTTTGGTATTTTCACTCTTTTTCTTCACACTAGTGCTATATCTTCCCACTGATTGCTACAGATTTATTCAGATATTAACTTCCATGTTAAGGCTTCCAGTGAATGCTAATTCCTTTCTCAGAATTTAAGATTTTTGTAAAATAGGAGGTTTTTTGAAGTTAGTAGAATACAGAGCATCTGCACAATTTAAATTAGGTTAGTGTTGCAGGATAGTTTCTTGGGATGGAATTTACTTCACCTAATTTTCAGGCATCTGCAGTGTAGGTACAAATATCTTAGCTTGCCATCTGGGTTGCAGTTATAGTCATTGGAAATCTAATACGGAGAGATCAGACCTTTTTGTCTGATCAGGTGCAAACATCTGCTTCAGATGAAATGATCTACACCGTTAACTCCATTGTCTATCTTCTCGTTAATTGCAAAGGAATTGGTCAGCTGTAGATGCCCATATTTAGCCAGATACAACCTATGCTTAGTAAAGTGACAATATGGTGCAGAATAACATCAGTTCCACTGATCGCACTTTTACAATGATCATCAGCATATCTGTGTAGTATACGTGCTTGTGTACATAAAGGTAGAAAGATACCTAGACACATGGAAACCTCATGCATAGGTTTTTATATTCTGTGTGACATTTACTGTTTACAGAATAAGATCACAGTGGCCTCACCAAAACAAGTATCTACAATTTTAAAATCGCGGAAGTATGTTTCTCAGTCACTTACAAAAGGAGAAGTCATCTTCCTCTTTGCCCCATGGTTTATGGAAACTAAAAAAAATATCAGTCTTACTATCATGAGAAAAATCTTTGTGTCCAAAAGAAAGCAAATTAATTTAAAGTCAGTGAATAATATACTAATATTGAAGTCTCTCCCTATTACTCGGTTCTGGGTTTTTTTAAAGGACTGATATGTTCATGAAGTGTTAAAATGTGAAGCCTTTTGGAGCTGAAATACCTCAAAGCCTTTGAGTGAGAGGAAAGTATCGGAGCTTTTAATGAACCAAGAGTGCGTATGAAGAAGGGTTTAATAATCTGTTTACTTCTTATCATAGAATCATAGAATCATTA